TTTCTTTCTTTCTTTCTTTCTTTCTTTCTTTCTTTCTTTCTTTCTCTGTCTCTCTGTCTCTCTCTCTTTCTCATTTCAATATCAAATTCCTTCCCCCATTGAAACAATTTTAAATCCTTAGAAAATATAGATTGCAGTTCTCAGTGACTTGTTGGTTTATATTATAATCTGTAAGCACATATGCATAGATCCAGTTTGGTTTAGCTGCTAAAATGTCAGACTAAAAGTTGAGAGATAATGATTCTAATTCCATCTATGGTAAAAAAGCAAGTGAATAGCCTTGTGACAATATCTCAGCTGTGGGAAGGAGACAATGGCAAATTGTGTCTGAAATCTTGCCAGGAAAACTGCCAGTTGTCAGGAACAAAAAACAATCTCTCTCTCTCTCTCTCTCTCTCTCTCTCTCTCTCTCCCTCTCTCTCCCTCTTTCCCCCGCCTCACACACACACATTATATCCTGCCTTAATTCAAGAGCTTCAAGATCCTTCTCCTATTTTTTCCCCATGGCTATTAAAATTCCCACAAGTGCCTATTCAGATTTCTTTTCTTTTGACATGAACAAGAGTAATAGTAACTGTGTTACTTTATACAGTAGAGACTTGTATACTCTACTGTATAGTGGCAATCAGACACAAACCATTAATCAGGTCTTTTCTTTCTGCCCAAGTTAGAACTTTTTATCAATAGGATTACTTATGCATCAACATCACCAAAAATTTCTTGTGATTAAATTGATCTTCTCATATAACTATCAGTGTTAGCTTTCACAAATTGTTATTTTTCCCGTAGCTCAAAAACATTCAGATGTACCTTTAGTCAGTAGCAACATGCAAACTTGGTCAAATAAACAAAGAATAACTGAGACATTGCAAAATAGTGAACTAAATTTCTTTTTTAAATGCATAGATTATGGAACATGATTTCATGAGATGATAGTTACTAATTTTTCTTTAAAAGAAAAATAACTCAATTGCATTAAATTGTATCACATATAACCAATCTGTCCCAGAATAGTAGTCATCAAGAAAGAATAACAAAAGAAAATCAAAGGTTTTATGAGATTATTTTCTCATAAAAAGTCCTATTCTTCACAGGATTCTGAAAAATTAAAGTACGTATTTTGAAGTATTTCAAAATATTCATGCATTTTAGAAAATATTTCCTTTGAATATGTTGCATTTCTTGTATTTCCTCCCAAAATTGTGCCTAATACATTTCATTTAAATGATTTTGATTGGTCAAGATCTTTTATTTTTGGTGTTCATACTATACTAAAAAAAGGATATTTAAATGATACAATATCCTTGAGGAGGAGATTAATTTCTTGATCCCAGATACAGTTACTTGAAATGAAAGTTGTACAAAAAGTTGTTCATAAAAGGATTTATGAAGTCTTGCAAGACATATATATATATCAATATATATATATATCATGATTTACCTTATTGCACTTGCAGATAAATGCCCATAAGAGCCACTAGCTGAAGAACTGCTACGGGAATTGTTCAGAATTGTCACCAAGGAGTTTGGAGATGTGCGGATCATTGTCTGAAGGTCAAAACTATGATCAGACAATGGTGACAAGGACAATGTTCGTTTTCGACTTGGTCTTGTTGGTAGCCTGGGACTTGAAAATCTAGTGCCTGTTGTATATATATAAAAAAAAATAGTAACAATTATTTATCAGAGCACCAATCCTCATTTTTTAATTGCTACTGGCAGTGGATATAAAGAGTTGCGACAATAGTATATGCTTTGACAAGTGCAATCTTTTCACTTATGATCTACTAGTTACAACTGAAAAAAAACCAAGAAAAAACATTTATCTTTCCATTGCTTACCTCAAGGGAGCTCTCTTGGTTAATGTGCAAGCAAAATGATAAATGGCTAAACAAAAGAAAAATACTTTTATGTTATCTTTTGCATTTCCAGTGATTTATGAATCTGATGGCTGCTTAGACTTTCTCTTTATTAATTCACTAGAAGCAAGGAGGTGGAGTGGTTCAAATCTAAGCTAGTAATTAACTCAAAACCTTTTCTAAAAATTGCTAAAATGGTTTCTAACATATATTCACCAAACATAAGGAAAATCAAGATGCATGTTTTGTTCATGAATAAAATAAAAATTGTTCCAAAATATTTATACATATTTATATTTCATATTTTCTCTGGAAGCTTAGAATGAAATAAAACTTAAAGCTTCCTAGCGATTCTGCAAAAAAGCTTAGAAGAAAAGATGGATTTAAACCAGTACCTAAATATTATTTTAAGAAAGCATAAATATATTTATTTTATCCAGTTTCAGTTTACTTTATTGATTAGCACTTGGGCAATATCAAAGTACAGAGCTCCAGAGACAAATTATTACTAAAATTTGATAAAACAATTTAAAAAGAGCTTGGATAAAATACAATTTAAAATGAAATTGGAATAAAATACAATAATTTAATATGTAGATAAATAAAATATGATAAAATTATATTTCAGGATCACCCCTACAATCTATCCCAATCAGTCCCACATATGCTGATTTTAACTGAACCATTTGCTTAAGTACTGTGCTGTGTTAAATGTTATTTTATTCATAAAACAATTTTATGTAAGCATAGGAATTTGCTTTTAAATGCACCAGTACTGTCTTACGGTTATGTTTGTATATATGGATATTAATATATACTTTTTAAAAAACAAAATCTGGAAACATTCAGAGTGAATTCTGAAATTCACTATCCGTTAAAAATTTCACTAAATTTTAATTCTCAAACTTAGCCTTTATACTGTGAAGAATTGAATTCAGTGGAAAGGCTTTAATTATGTATTATTTTATCCTATCCATAGGATTATGATCAATTCTGGGCTTCTGGTTTTCTCTTTGTCAGAGTTAGAGTGGAATCCGCAATCGTGTGTGGTTTCACCCAAGCTCACTTGCTAGAGGGTCCTGATCGAGACCAGAACCACCCTGTAGGGGTGGTGAAGAAGGGGGGATCACCTGGAGGATTGAGGGGAGCCGCAACTCCTCTCCCTAACAGGGAAAACCCCTCCCAAAGGCAAGCTGCAGTTGTGGTCCTAAAATGGCCACCACAATGACGAAGAACACTCCGGGAATATAAGTTTTGTGCTGGAGCAGAGAAGTCGCAAGCAGAGTGTGAACCAGGCAAAAGACATTATATTTGAGGTACCCCGGAATTAAAATAAAGGGCTATCTTGGAGGAAAGTGTGTGGAAGCAGCGACCAGAGAAAGTGAGAAGGAAATTGGATTTTATAAAATTCAGGAAAATTTTAGTACATTTTAAAAAGTGTCTGGTCTTCTCAAGAGTTTGGATTGGAACTTAAAAGAAAGTAAAAGAAACTTTATTAATGTTATAGAACCACACGGTTACTTGGGAAATAGTTGGGGCCAATTAGAAGACCTGGAACAAAGTGTCAAGAGTATGGATTGTTGAAAATAAATTGGCTAAAATAATATACTGGATTCTGGGATTGAATATATCTATTAAAGAAGAGGATTTTAGCTATTAAAGAAGAGGAAAGAAAAAGAGAAAAAAAGAGAAGATATAATGGAGGAACTTTTTGTTGATATAAGACTGGACTTACAAGATACAAGATTGGATTTGCAAGATATAAGGGACATGATAAAAATTAAACTTCAAATGTGTAATTATGTATTACAGAAATTAGAAATGGTGACTCAGCTTACCCAAGAACAAAGTAAACCAGAGGGGGAGGAGTTCTACAAAGAAGAAGCCAACTTTGAAGGACAAATGGAAGAACAATTACTTTAAAAGGAGGAAAAAGGAATTAGAATTAAAAATTTGTGGTCTGATGGGATGGTAAAAGGGAGAATGGTTCGAGAAATGGATAAAGGGAGAGGGAAAAAGCAGAAAAAGGAAGTGCAAAAGAAAAATCGAAATAGGGAGAGAGAAAAGTTCAATAACTGGAATGAGAAATGGAGGGGAATAAGAATGGGGGAAAAGGGAATTAAGAGAAAGGAGCAGAAAATAAAGAGGAGCAGGAAACAAACAAGGATGAAAATAAATTACATTGTCCATAGAGTGAGAGATAATGGGAGAAAAAAAAGAGGATAAGGAAGGAGATTCCACAAGGTAATATGTTGTGATGTATAAGAATATATTGAGAATAGTACTTTGTAATGTATAGATGATTCATAAGGTGTTTGAGAAAATGTAATGCGAAATCTGAGAAAAATATATATATTTGTGTTATAATCTAGGTAGGGAGATTGATATTAAGGTAGAATGAAGGTGGTTAGCTCGAATTATTAACCAGAGGGGACAATTATATTTATAGATAAGGATTGATAAAATGACAAATGTGACAGAAAAAAGTAATATGAGATATGAATATAGAAATGAGACAAGAATTTTAGATAACATGGTAAAAATGAACATAGAAAGGTCATGAGAATTTTAGATAACATTGTAAAATAAGATATGAGAATATACTAATATAACATGAATTGGAACTGGATAAGATAAGCTTAATATTTAATAATAAGGATGATGCAATATGAAATTAAACAAATAAAATGAATAGGTAATTATGGTCATGTTTGTATTGAGATGTGAAACCTGGAACCACACTGCTTGCTAAATGAGAATTTTTTATTTAAAAAAATAAAAATAAAAGGAGGGAGAAAATTGAATAATGGAATTACTAGGTATGTTTAATTGATATGGTGGTAGACATTTGAGAGAGTATTGAAAGATTGAAAATAAGCAATGAAGGATTATGAATTATTGTCAATATATGCATTGAGAGATATGATTGGTATTATTAATTTGCCTATACCAAAATATATGATATATTGATGCCACACTGTTAATATATCATTGTGTATGTGTAGATTGAAATAAAAAAAAATTATTAAAAAAAAGGATTATGCTCAATTTTGATGTGCCCAAAATAGCATATTTATTTTAACAAGCACCTTCCAAGCCAAATAATTCTTATTACTTATCAATATATTTGTCTAAAGAAAATAAAATAATCCCTGTTGGATGAAACATATAATCAAGCCAGAATTATATGCTGCAATCTCTAACAATCTCTGGTTTATGATGTGTGAAAAAAATGTTCTAAAAAAGGGAAGCCACCAATAAAAAAAAAACCACTGTGCATTTGCTCAAAATGTTACATTTGCTGTTTGCATTCTTGCTTTATTGCTTCCACTATGACATTATTTGAAGTCTAGTTATATTCAATATTTACTTCATTTTGGAAATCTTTGATCATAAGCAAGACTGTCAATTATCTCCAGCATCTGGTTTGTGGTTCTCCTTTCTTCTTCACTTCTATAACTAGAAACAAAACATGTTGCTCCAATCTTGCTCAGGATATAGTATTGATGAGTGGGTGGAACCCCCCCCCCCACAACCTTCTAACTCTTTTCATCTCTTGTTTATGTCCTGCCACTTGCTGTGTGGATGTCTGCTACTTTAATTTAATGCAGAACTTAAGATTCTTTGAAATTATGGTGTCCTTTCCTTGCCTTTGAATGAAAACAGTTATCAAAGTTTACAAGAAAGTTTGTTTAATATAACAACTTCTATACAGGAACAGCAGTCTCTAACAGTATGCTTAAATAGTTCCTCTTCATTAGACTATAAAGCAAGGAAAATTATAGCTCCTGACTCCATAGTAATCTAATCCCAATAAGCACCATTTCTCTCCAATATAGTAGCTGCCACTAGGAGTTTTATGCTACACATTGATGCACAATCGCATCTGACTCTGCTGCATATCATTAAATATTCATTTAAAACATATTTTTTTGTAAATTTTGGTGGGATCAAAAGTGAATTATATCATTTTGCTAAATGACTTCTTACAAAACCTATACAAATACTGAGAAACCATAAAGTAGATTGCAGCTATGTAAATTAACTTTTGTTGTGTACACTGATTCTGTTTGCAGTCAATCTTTCTCTTGAAATGCAAAGGATGGTGTCTAAAAATGATGAGGTCACTATGGAAAAAGTAAAGAGAATTTCTGTTTTACATCCTATTTTTGAAAAAGAACTGGGAGAAAGCTGAGATTCTAATGAAAGAAATTGCAATACTTTGCTGATATTGACAAATTATGGTTTGTCATTATGAGATTGTTGAGGAAAATACTGGAGAATGGAGCAAATATTTCAATAGTAACTACTGGAGAGAAGAGAATGGAGCAAATATTTCAATAGTAACTAGTGAGAGAAGATTGCAACTTGGCTATTACAAGTAAGGACGTGTTGAACTGCAGTCTGACCAAAAAAATCAAGGAGACAGTGAAGGTCCCTTCTTGCAAAGGTTGTGCTTTTTAACATCTGGTCTGGGTCTAACAAAATGTTTTACCATTCACAATTTCTTCCTGGATGAAAATACTCTCTTAACATTTATATGGCTAGGACGGAAGAAGTTTATCTCCTAACCTTATTCCTATAAAAATGGTGTTGAAGGGCTTGAAGAAAGTAGACAATTCATAGCAAGAGCATTCTGATTGAAGCTATTCTGGAGGGACGAATGGACTATACTTTCAAGCCAATGTGCGGGCTGATCAATAGTTACACAAGATGTTTAGTTCCACTTATTGCTTCCTATGGGGCCATACTAGTTACTGAAAGCTATGATGACTCCCCCAGAC